TTAAATCAGGCGCTTCTTGGGAGGCAACCCATGTGTTTTTCTTTGTAGAGTAGGATTTATTTTTGGACTGACTGGTTGTGAGATGCTATAGGATTGTGCTGATGCAGTGTAGGAAAAAGTTAGAAAATGACTACTCTTTGAAGATTTTCAATGTGGACCGCACTGCCATTTTGTGCGGCCGCAAAGACCTCAATGCGGGGGCAAGAAATCAATGCAGACCGAATTGATGAATGAGCAAAAGTGGAGGTTCTCTAAAGTTTACCACTGCGGCCGGATTGCATTTTGTGCAGTGTACGATAGTCCACTGCTGCCGCAATGCATTTTGTGCGAGCCGCAGCGGATGCCTTGTCTGAGTCCTATGACTTTGAGCAGTGCGGACCGCAGTACCATTTTGTGCGGTCCGCGGTGGGTAGGTGAGATGGGCCCCAGGACCTTTTTCTATAAATAGGACCTGAGGCCCTACTTTTGAACTTTTTGAACTCTTTACTCTCAGAACTAAGAAAATTCACTGTTCATCTCCCTTCTTGCTCGTAATTAAATGCTAAGATTCATTTATCTTCAGTACTTCTCACATCTCGTAAATCTAACTTCTTCTTAATTACCTAATTTTGTTATTTTCTTTTACTTTTTTTTGTTTTCCTTTGTTCTTCTTCGTAGCCTTTATGTGTCTCTTTCAGTAATGTAGCTTAGGTTAGTTAGTTCTTGTTTAAAGTTAGATTAGGTACTTAAAACATTGGGCAAACACTTAGGGACTCTTTATTAGGTGTAAAAATTTACTTAAATTCAACATATCATAAACCCTAGGTTAGTGCTGCTACTTGGTGCTCTGTGCAGACCGCGGTGGAAATTGTGCGGTCCGCAATGGTATTTTGTGCGGACCGCATTGCTAAAAATTCTTAAACATGATCATTGAGGACTTCAGCCGTATTGCATTTTATGCGGTCCGCGGAACCTTAATGCGGACCGCAATGGCATTTTGTGCGGTCCGCGGTGCACTTATTCAGAGAGTAGGTAGTCTGAACCCCACCTCTTGTGGACCGTAGTGCCATTTTGTGCGGTCCGCATTGGCCTCATTGCGTCTGCACTGCATTTTGTGCGGTTCGCACTCTGCTAGTTTAAAAACTATCTGCAACATTTCTTTTGCAACTGTGAATTACAATGTCTTCTTGATACTAACAAGCATAACTGAATTTGTGTACAGACAATGTCGAAATCAAGAGGCAAGGGTGCTAAACAACCAGGACGAGGAGAATCCTCCCGGGGATGGAAAACAAAAAATGATAAGGTTGATCTCACAAGCCCATCAAAACATAAAGAACACAAGAAAAATTAGTAGAGTTGTTGATAGAGCTATTGATCAGTTGTGGAGTGAGTACGAGCCCTCCTGGGAGGTATCATCAGATCAGTGCCAGAGTACATTCTTGACTGGCCGGAGAGAAATAGACTGAGAGTCACTCCTCCAGTATTCCCGACTGCCCAAGCTTCAGTTCATGTATCGTCTGAGTCGTCTAAGGGCTCAGCTGACGATAGTGGAGATGAATACTCCATCTCTCCCACAACTTCATTATCCGGAGAGGATGTAGTACCAGAGGAGGGGGAAGAAGCAAAAGGGGGTGTTCCCCAAGTTGGTGGGGTTGAGCGGACTAGGAACCTGGAAGCATAGGATGACCAGTTTGTGAGTGAGGTGGGCTACCACAAATTCAGAGAGTGGTGCTAGAGAAGAAACTGATACCTAAGTAGAAAATAATCACCCGGGACCTCATACCTCACAACGCAAATGTGTTGAGGCAATTCACAGACAGAACATGATGGGACTTTTTCATTGACCATGTAGAGGACGCAAATGAACATGTTGTGAAAGAATTCTACACCAATGTGGCCCACATCAAAAAGGGCACCAAGGTCACAAAAGTGCGGAATTTGAAGGTCAAATTCGATGGCAAGTCCATTAATGATTAGTTGAACTTCGCAGAGGAGGATGAGTCCATATACTTGGAGAAGATGTAGTTGGGTGAACAAGCCCGTCCGTGGTTGGTGGAGTACTTGGCAATCCCAAGTACTACTCCCGATTAGCTGACTATGGGGGTGAAAAATATTGAGGAGGACACTGAACTTCGAGGCTAGGGGGTGGGAAAATTTTGTGTGCAGCAGATTAGACCCTACCATCCATGACAACTCACTCCTACTTTACCGGGCGATCTTAGTAGCATCCATTATGGCACGGTACCCGATCAATGTCGGGAATGTGATGTCCAAGGTCATTTCACAGGTGGTGGATGAGGGTGACTGGTCCTACCCATTCCCCAACTTCTTGACGATGTATTTGAGGACCTCAAGGTGGAGAAGAGGAAATTTGATGTGAAGGTGAAGGCAAAGGCACCCTTCTCATGGTATAGCCTACAGGGTGATGACAACCCTAAGGGCAAGGGCTCCACAGGAAAATCCACCACTTTAGCTGGCAGTCTGAAGATCCAGTAGTGGTAGTGACTACTCCACAACCTCCTCCCACTATATCAGATATGGCCCCAAGTCCATCGACCTCCACTGATCCAGAGATTTCCTCCACCACTGCATATCTATTGATAGCCCACCGTCTGAGGCAGGCCCTCACTAGCATCAACAATTGGATGCAGATATCTACTTCCAAGCTGTCTGTGTTATCTTCTACCATGGCAGCTCAGTCGGCACCACTGCATCCATAGGTCCCACAGTCTATTTAGGACGCTCTCAAGGATATTCTGGACAACCAGAAGAAAATCCTTGACACTCAAAAATTGCTTACGGACGCTGTTAATTCACATGGAAAAGCTCTCAAGGAGCTTGCTAGGGAGGCTAAGAAGATGAGGAAGAATCGAGCTTCCAAGGAGTTCGTAAAGGAGTTGCGGGTTGAGGTTGACAGGTTGAAGGCATATCACATGCCTTTGGATTATTGTTACATGACCCTGTGCCAGCAGGCCATCCCCAGCCAAAGCAGTCCCAGAGGCCTACTAAGAGAAAGAGGATGATTCCCAGTTCATATGATGCAGTTATCCAGTTGGCAGACCCACTGGAGACTTCCTCCAGTTAGCCATAGGGTGCAGCCCAGGAGTCTATCCAGGTCCAGGCCCAATAGCACAACTACAGGTCACAGGGAGCCAATCTCTGGTTCCCGAGCATATTGAGGACACAGGGACCACACAGGACCCCATGCAGACAGACGGCCCATAGGGAGTTTTTGTATCCTCTTTCCTCTATTTTTGGTGCTTATTTTGCTTAGTTGGCATTGAGGACAATGCCAACTTTCATTTGAGGGGGTAAACCTTACTTTGATTTATTGGATGACTATATATATTTTACAGATTTAATGATTTCTTTCTTTTTTTATCTTTGGTATGTATATAATTTCAGCATTTCATTATATTTTTCGAACTTTTTACCGTGGGTCTATATATAAAAGTATGTTCCATTGTATATATTTATTTTACCTATTGTATATTCGATTAAATTCCCTCTTGTATATATTCATTTAACTTTCCGCAATTTTTCCTTCTTAGCTTCTTATTTATGTTTGTAGCTTCTTGTTTTGGATTTTTGCAATAAGTCTTTAGTTTCTTAATGCCACGGTTTTTTCCAAATATGGAATTTGTGTGAACCGGGTGGCTCTTCCCGATGATGGATGGCATGACTATCTTATTAAGGGTTTGAGTCTGTTTTTTTTTTTGCTTTTTAGTAGTTAATTGTTAAGGGTGCCTCAAGCAAAGCTTCACTTGGGCCAAGCACATTTTCCTTTGATCTTATGGTAAAAAACAAATCGTTGTGTTTAGGATGATGAAAGTTGTGACCTTGAGACTCTTGTGTTGGACGATGATCATCAAGTGGTTTTCCGGGACCATTGTGTGCTCAAATCTTATCTAAGGTTGTTCTGGGCCCCCGACTCTGTGTCTTTAGCGATCCCATAGCTTGTGTGGTGAAAAATTGCATGCAAGTCCAAGTCCCGAGCCATTGGTCTAGAACATACCCTGAATGTTTGTCGAGGCGAAATCCTAAGTGAAATTTGACTTGAGACATGATTATAGGCTCTCCTTGATCCAAATGATAGCTTGAACACTTCTATAGCCTAACAATGATAAAATCCCTAGTCAACCCTTTTGAGCCTTAGACCTTTTTCCTTCAAGAACCACAATACAAGCTTTTACACATTCTAAAAGATACCCTCTCTCGGCACCTGATCTTTCCATAGCACATAGGAAAAGTATAACATTGGGGGGAGATACGAGGATTGCAACAAAGTGGTAAAAAGACACAAAATAAAGAAAAGGAAAGGTAATGAAAAAGGAAGAAAAGCAAAAAGACAAAAAGAATGTTCAATATAGAAATGAATAAGAGTGACAGTGTGTCTCTCTAACCCCTTAGAAAGAAGTGAAATGACTTAAAAAGTCAAGTGAATGTGTGCCAAAATGAAACAAAAGAAGTGCTTAAAGGGAAGATGGAACCTACTTAGACTAAACATTTCCTACCCTGAACCAAAAGCCTTCACTATGTCTCCACAAATGCCCTATATGATGCCTAGTTGAATGAAGCTTACATTAGTGGTGACTCACATAAGGGGCAAGCATATGGTACTTAGAGCCAGACTTGCGACCACTACCAAAAAATGGGTCTATGACAACGGATATTTTTGCAACGGTTCAAAAACCGTTACTATAGATAGGTTATTGGAACGGTTTTAACTGTTGCGATATGACATGGGTGATACCAGCACACTTTGGCTATAAAACCGTCATTTAGGTAAAAAACCGTTCCCATAGTGTTTTATTTTTTGCAACGTTTGTTTTAACCGCACCAATAAATACATTCATTGGAACGGATCTTTAAAAAACTCAATCGGAACGGTTGTTATTTCCATCCTGAAATTTTGCCGCCTAAATTTTCGTAAACCCGCGCTTTTGAACCCCTCTTTTTACATTATTTTTTAATTAATATTATTTTATAAAAACCCATTTATGTGTTCTCCTAAATAATATGCTCTAACCTCTTTCTCCGATTTCCTTTTAGCGTACCGCCAGAACCTCGGTCTGCCAATATCCGCCATCGACCTCCGTCTCAACTGCCAATATCCCGCTGTCAACCTCCACCAACACTAGCAGAACCTCAATTGTCTTTTTCCTCCACCTATAAACTTTATCTCCTCCACCAAAACAACAACTATTCAATTAATCAAAGCTCTATGGTTTCAAATAGTCACAAAATTCTAGGGTTTTTTTCTCGATTAAGCTCGACTACAACTCCTTGTTCTCACTGAGCCTTAATTCTAGGTTTTGGCTCGACTCTCGCAAATTTTCTGATTTATTTTGCATGATCTTCTTTTATTCCTTTAGTAATTTCTCAATAGTTCAGTCGTAACTTGCAGATTCCATTAGCGAGGACGAAAATGCAACTGATAGCTGTGGGATAAATAATTGTAAGATTTCTTAAACTTTTTTTAATATAAACCGTTGTGATTTTGGATGTAAATTTCAGTTAAAATGTTCCTTTTTGCTCGATTAAGTGATTTTTATTTTATTTTGGGAGTATTTGAGTTATGTAGTGTGATTGAATGGAGATTCAAATCCATATGACACAAGCATTAAAAAGTATCTACTCGGACTTAACAATTACGGGAACTTGGGGTTTTTGGTTTATTATGGATTTTTTTAGTTATCGTTTTCATGTAAAAATTTTGTGTTATGAGGCTTTTTTTGTTGCATATTTGTCTCTATGTCTATGATTTAAGAATAATGTTGTCTTTCTAATAGTTTGATGCTTGTGCTTGAAACAAATATAGAATTCAACGAATCTGTTGGAGTATTTTAATCCAACAGATATTGAGTCTATATTTATTGTTAATGATTTAGGGAAATGAAGGGTCCAGTCCATCGAAAAATATTTCGTGGTTATGCTCGTGGTGAAGTGGTTATCCAGTATTGTTTCCTGCCCTCTACATGTTTGTACTACATGTTTACCTGAATTAAATGAAGAGACTGATATGGAACATACCAAATTTGGTGCTCCTAATTAGCTGTGCTTTGTTGCAAATTCTTCTTACTGAAGTCATAAGCTAGCTAACTTCTTACTGTATCACTTTCTATTTCTGGTTAATCTTCATTTGGCTTCATTGTTCTGACCTTATTTGCAATTTGCATCTAGCATTTACTAGTATTATGGTGACAACTTTTACGTGTAATAGCATTGATGCAGTTTCAGATCGCGATTTTTCATGGAGTTCCTTTCTGCAAATTCCATCACTGCTAAAGAATTTGGTTTCACTGCTTAGATAAAGATTCCTCAAGTTAATGTTTCCTTCTTTAGCAGTGATTGATCTAACTAGTTCAATTTTAGTATATCTTTGCTTTTGTATAGCGGTAATAATTCTCTTCACTGTAATTTTCTATTTTCTTATAGTCAATAAAGTTACTTTAAATTTCAATAAGATAAATAAGGAGCCCGTATTTGACAGTGTCAAGACAAAAATTTGGATGCTTGAGATACATGTAGAGTTTTCACATAATGTTACTGTCACGACCCTAACCCCGAACCCGGTCGTGATGGCGCCTCTCGTGAAGAAAAGGCCAGCCAGACCAAAACAAAATACCTCATTTAAACAGTTAAATACCATAAATAGTTCTAAAACATGATATAATAACCATAATTTGCGGAAATAACGATAACAATAGTAGAAACCATCCCGACACAGCCCAATGCAGGGTGTCACAAGTCATGAATAACTAATAAATTTGGATACCAGTCTACTAGATACAAAATCTAATACAAAAGTTCAAGGGCACGAAAATAATAAGTTAAGGGAGGCACGGGGGCTGCAGACGCCAACAGCTACCTCGTAGTCTCCGAAAACACTGCCTGGACTGGGAGGATCAGCACTCAGGAGCGGACTCTGCAATGACTGAATCTATACACACGGTGCAGGGAGTAATGTGAGTACTCCGACTTAGTGAGTAATAATCATAAATAATGGCTGAAAGCAAGAAAACACGTAAAGGCAAAAAGCAATTCTATATCAAGCAGTAAATTAGTGAGGAAGTCAAATGAAATTCCTTTAAACCAAGTAAAACAAGTAATTTATCAGGCAAATAACAAGTAGAAATACGCCCCTCAGGCACAATAACAATCGCTCAGAACAGTATCAGCACCTCGGGCTCACTCTTAGTACAGTATCAGCCCCTCGGGCTCACTCTCAGATCATGATGGGTACCCGCGCTTACTGTGGGTGTGCAGACTCCGGAGGGGCCCCTTACGGCCCAAACGTTATATCAAGGCACCTCGTGGCATCATCTCTCAGCACTCGGCCTCACATCACTCGGCACTCGGCCTCACATCACTCGGCACTCGGCCTCACATCACTCAAGCCACCTCGTGGCGTATAAAAGTATCTCTGGCCCTCGGCGTCATATCACTCAGCATATCCTCACATATGGCCCTTGGCCTCACTTAGTCCAAAAACCATCACAAGCCCCTCGGGCATTAGTACAACAGTAGTTTTCAGCCTAAAAACATCTTTTAGAAATATCATTTAAGTTTCAAATATGAGTAAAAGTGGCTGAGTTTGTAAAACAGTAAATATCAACATGACTGAGTTCAAGTGATAAATCAATACAGTGAGGAAATAGTGATAAAAATCTCCGGAGGGTTAAAATAATTGGCACGAAGCCCAAATATGGCAATCAGCCCAAATCATGATGATAACAAACAAGTTTCAGTCAAATACGCGGTAAAATCATCAATCAGGACGGACCAAGTCACAGTCCCCAATAGTAAACGACCCCACGCTCATCATCAAGTGCGTGTCTCACCTCAATATAGTACTACGATGTGCAATCCGGGGTTTCCAACCCTTAGGACATCATTTACAATCATTACGCACCTCGAACCGGCTACAACTCTAGCGCGCGACACCTTTGCCCTTCAAATCGGCCTACACGCGTGTCGAATCTATCCAAAAGCAGAACGAATACGTCACAATATGCTAAGGGAACAAAGCCCAAGCGAAAATAATCAAAAAAATATAAAAAATCCCGAAATTAGCAAAACCCAAGCTCCGGGCCCACTTCTTGAAACTCAAAAAATTTCACATCATTAGATTCCTTATCACCCCTTGAGTTCATACAAATCAAAAATCTCCAATCCGACCTCAAATAGTCCTTCAAATCCCAATTCAAAGTTCAAAATCCCAATCCCTAGTTTTTCCATTTTTAGCTTAAGTTCCAAGAATTTCTAGGTTGATTTCACAATAAAATCACGTTATAGGTTCAAAAATCTTACCTCCAATAAATTCTCCTTGAATCCTTTTTTAATCACCATCAAAAAGCTCTAAAAATGCTCAACTATGGAGGAAAAATGACTCAAAATCATGGATGAAATAACTTATAAACTTTCTGCCCAGGTCTGACTTCCCTTCTACGCGAACGCGGTCAACCTCTCGCTTTCGCGTAGCACAAATTTACGTTGACCAACTTTTACCTTACGCGAATGCAACACGCTAGTCGCGAATGCGATGCCTCTTCCGCCTTGACCTTCGCAAACGCGAGACATCTGATGCGAACGCGAAGAGCAAATTCCACTGGACCATAAATCCTTATACGCGAACGTGGAGAGAGCCTCATGCGAACGCGAAGCACAAACTCCTAGCCTTCCGCGAATGCGAGGCAACTCTCGTGAACCCGAAGGTTTAATTCTGGCCTTCCTCAAATTCTTCTACGCGAACGTGAGGCTTCGCTCGCGAATGCGAAGAGATAATTCTCTGCAACAACTGGGCAGATTTTTCTGCAACTTTCAAACTCCAAAATGGTCCGATTGACCATCCGAAACTCACCCGAGGCCCCCGGGACCTCAACCAAAAGCACCAACACATCCTAAAACCTCATTCAAACTTGTTCCAATCATCAAAACACCTCAAACAACACTAAATTCATCAATTCACATTGAAATCAAGCCTAAGTTTTCTTAAAACTTCCGAAATACGCTTTTGATCAAAAGCCCAACCAAACCACGTCCGAATGACCTGAAATTTTGCACACACATCAAAAATGACATAACGCAGCTACAACAACTTTCGTAATTCCATTTCGACCCTCAGATCAAAATCTCACCTACCAACCGGAAATCGCCAAAATACTAACTTTGCCAATTCAAGTCTAATTCTACACCGGACCTCCAAAACCAATTCCGATCACACTCCTAAGTCATAAATCACCTCTCGAAGCTAACCGAACCATTGGAACTCGTATCTGATCCCTCTAACACATAAGTCAACACCTGGTTGAATTTTCCAACTTAAACCTTCTTAAAAGAGACTGAGTGTCTCATTTCTTACTAAATCCATTCCGAACGCAAACTACCCAATTCACTCACATAAAACACGGATAACGAAGCAAAATGAAGCAAAAATATGGGAAAACGAAGCGGTAACTCATGAGACGACTGGCCGGGTCGTCACATCCTCTCTAACTTAAACAAACGTTCGTCCTCGAACGAGTCAAGAAATATACCTGAAGCCTCAAATATGTGAGGATATCTGCTCCACATCTCCCGCTCAATCTCCCAGGTAGCCTCCTCCACGGGCCGACCTCTCCACTGCACTTTCACTGAAGCTATATCCTTTGACCTCAACTTTCGAACCTGACGTCCCAAAATAGCTACTGGCTCCACATTAAAGGTCAAATCATCATCCAACTGAACCGTATTGAAGTCCAAAACATGAGACAGGTCCCCAATATACTTCCGGAGCATCGAAACATGAAATACCGGATGCACGCTAGGCAAGCTGGGTGGCAAAGCAAGCTCATAAGCCACCTTCCCGATCCTCCGAAGCACCTTAAAATGCCCAATGAACCGCGGACTCAACTCCCCTTTCTTCTCATATCTCATAACACCTTTCATGGGCGAAACCTTCAGCAAGACCTTCTCACCAACCATGTAGGACACATCTCAAACCTTCCAGTCCGCATAACTCTTCTGATGCGACTGTGCTGTACGAAGCCTCTCCTGAATCACCTTCACCTTCTCTAAGGAATCTTGAACGAAATCGAATAGTCTAGCCTCTCCAGGCTCGAACCAACTAACTGGAGATCTACACCGCCTCCCATACAAAGCCTTATACGGAGCTATCTGAATACTCGACTGGTAGCTATTGTTATAAGAAAACTCTACAAGCGGTAGAAACGTATCCCATGAACCTCCGAAATCGATGACACAAGCACGCAACATGTCCTCCAGTATCTGAATAGTACACTCGGACTGCCCGTCCGTCTGAGGATGAAAAGCTGTGCTCTACTCCACCTGAGTACCCAACTATCGCTGAACAGACTTCTAAATATGGAAAGTAAACTGAGTGCCCCGATCTGAAATGATGGAAACTGGGACACCATGCAATCGAACAATCTCCCGAATATATATCTCTGCCAACCG